AATTTACCACATTTGCATATTCTTTCACGTGTATTGTCGATGAACAGAAATGAGCACCAAAGAAAATTTATCGCTCAAGCAATGTGAGCATATTCTTATTGTCGTATATATATATATATATCTATGTGTCGAATTCCCTAACCCTATTTGTGTAATAAGAGGATTCGTTAGATGGAAAGATTCAAAAGGTAAGCAAGATTAGGCATCACCAGTGTTAAAATTTTCAAAGTTTCCATTTCAGGTCTTTAGAGGGACACATTGTGAATCAAACGTTGAGTCTAAAAATTCAAGGCAACGTTTTCTGTCCCTAGAAATAGATCTACAGCTGTGAAGCCTCTTTAAAATAGGCATCTCACATTTGTCATCAAGAATCTAGACGCCAGAATAAGGTCTCACAGAAGCTGAAACTGTTCATCCACTCTGATGTCATTTAATGATATAATGCATTTTATTCGACACAAACACGCAAGTACAATAATGGATAAATATTGAGCGTTGAAACAAAAATGTGGTTTTGATCATTATTGCTAAATACATTTCTGATCCTTCGCTCGGGTGAAATGACTCATATCGATCTTCGGGACACTGTAACATTCATTTGCTTGTAAAATTTTTCACTTCATTATCCTAAATTTGAACAAAACTTTCATGATACTACTAAATGAGTGAATACTCTCATCTAGTGAGATGTAGAATACTGCCACATATCCGAAACCATGATATCCTGCTGGAGTCATAAAAGATGACCTGTCACTACAAACCACTTAAGTATTTTGCTGCGTACTGTGACCCCAAGCGATTATACATCAGATATGAAATTATTTCTGCAAGAAACAGCATCATAAATTGGATGCAGTTTCTTACAGAAATAATAATTCATACCCTTAAAACTTCACATCAATATTCCATCAATAGTTTTAATTCTCAGTCACCGCATTGGCTTAACTTTAATGGAAGCAGATTTTGCCGTAATTCCGAAGCTGTTCCTAACTACTGCTAACATTTGCTCATTCATTAGACCCCAATTGTTATGTGCAGGTGCGATGATGCGATGCTTTACTTAAGATGAGATGCGTTCATCTGAGGGATCCATTTCGAATATTTTATATCCTTTCCAAGAAAGTCCAGATTGTTAAATTTCGGTAAGTATCTGTGAGTCAGTTGTCTGATGAATTGTTTCCAACCCGAATCATGCACCGTGTACTGGCTTATAACCTTTAAAGAATGAAGGCTTTATATCATTGCCAAGCGGTAGACTTCCGTCCAGTGCCTTCAGTATTTCTGCTTATTTTCTTGTTTGTAACACTGTTGGTACAGTGAATTCGTCCACAGAAAATGAAGACTAGGAATAGCCTTCACTCATTAGGTGTTTTGGTGAAGAAACTATGCAACAATCAGTAAAGAACAATTCACATGTCATTAGGCTCAAATAACATATCAGAGAAGAGATCAATACTAATACAGTTTGAAAGAAAAATAAAACCACTTTCGAAACCACTATAGTTACAGTAACCTTGAGTACGAGATGTCGAGTAACGACATGAAAATGATAGTAACGACAAATGTAAAGAATTTAACTGCTGACTTTTGAATCCATTGCTGTCTAACACTAGATGTTATTGGACTGACTTAAAGGAATGCTTATCTCGTGTGTAAATATATTCATTTTATTCTTAAAACTTAGACTCATAGATTTTTGACGTTTATGTCGAAGTGTTTAAAGAACTGTAAAGAAGGGCTTCAACTCACACTGAACTTTTTTTTTATAATGAGCACAATCATGATGCCTCACGCCTGGGCAAGTTTCAAAGATTGCAGGCATTTTAGCATGCCATTTGGATGAAAACCAGAGAAGTTTTTATACCTTGCATTTGTAGAATCCAAAAAATTGTAATATAAACTGGACTTATTAGGCAAACTAGCGTGAATTAGAGGAATATTATTGTTCATTTGTCTTGCATCAGTGGTTTCCTTAAACATTTTCGACATCCATGATGAGATTTTCGGTATGAAATTTATTTGTAAATCACATTTAGTCGCCGAATTGCCGTCTAACCTAAAGTGTTCGACTACTATCTTATTCTTGGAAACATGGCTTTCTAGTGGATGGACAGCACGAATTCAGAAAAAAACGACCAACAAACTTACTATTAACTAAAGAAGACTGGGTAGTAACCTTGGATATTCACCTCTTATTGGATGTCAATTTTATAAATCTTAGTAAAGCTCCTCATAAATTTTCCATTTTCGTCTTGTTAACAAACTTGGAGGTTTCCGATTAGACGAAGGCCTTTGTGAGTCATTGAGGAACAACGTGATGAAAAGGCGGTAAAATATATGGTTAAATTGTAAGCTTTCAAAGAGGGAGGAGAGAAAAGGATGGTGAAAATGAAGATGAGTCAATGGAAAGATGGCCAAGAAAAAGGTGAATTTAAGATTAATGTACACGGAGCTCAATGAATAAGCGTAGAAGAGTGCTAGGAAGGACGAAAGACAATTCTACAACACACTTGCAAATTAGGGAGAATTGGCTCGTCGCAGATGGAAGAGACCTCAGAATTCAATGTCAGATAGGCACTAGGTCCAAGAAGAAATCAACGCATATGATGATACCAAAGAATATGTTCAAGAAAAACCTAGTTACCAAGGGGAAGAAACAAAAAAAGCAATAGATTTATCACTTCAAAGGACTTTTAAATCAACTTTCACTTGCAACTCTCCAAGAAATACCACCACCACCAATAGTACACATAGAATTGCCTGCCAGTGGACTTGGATCCTCCGACAAAATCAGAAATCTTGAATATCATCGAGCTAGCGAAGGTGTAAGAGGCAGCAGGAACAGAGGGAATTCCCCGCTAACTATTGACTACGAGCCAAAAGCTTGAGGCGGGTATGCGGACATCAGTATTCTAAAGGCTCAAGTAGGAAGAAGGGCTGCCTACCGATGGTGATAAAGGATAACTTATCGAGCTTCCAAAGTACGGTGACTTGCGCCTCAGCGTAAACTGGGAACAGATCATGCTTCAGTCCACGCCTGATATAATATTTAGTCGAATCATCCTGCAGAGAATAAACAATCGACTGGATACAGAACTCTTTCAGCCAGAATAAGCTAGAATCAAGAAAGACAAATCTTGTGCTGATCTCAATGTAACTCCTCGCAACTTCATTGAACAAAGCATGCAATGATAGTCAGAACCTCATCTTAGCTTCATCGACTCTGAAAGCGCTTTTGACAACCCTGATCAAGCACTGATTTGAAAACTGACTAATCAATACGGCGTGCAGTGCCTAAGTCTTTATTGACTTCATTCAACAGCTGGTTATATGAAACGGGCACGTATCAGAAGATCCACAACGAAAAACTGAGAGATGCGATGAATACAGCAATAATAAAAGCTGGTGATAATCCGGTGATATTCCTTTTGTATTCGACTGGATTATGTGTCATACTATACATAAGAGTGAGAAGGTAGGAATACCTTGAACTCAAAAGAAGACTAAAGAATATCTGGAACTCGAAGATTATAATTTTTTAACGTCACACAAACTCGGATACTTGCATGAGGAAACCAACAGGTTGATAAGAGCAGTTGCTAGCAAAGGCAGAACTTCAGGTGAACATAGAAAAGATGAAAGTGATGAAGATAACAAAAAAAGAGGTGAAAATGGGCAATACGTGAAACTGAAATGGGAAAGTATGATCCCAAATTATCCATAGTGCATTTGGTTTGTGATGACCATAAAACCATGAGGCTCCTAAAAACGTTGGACATACACAATTAAATTGAAAGACGTTTCTTCGGATATATATGACACTAAGTAGGTTGATATGACTAACACAATAAAATATCAAATCTGATAAATAGCAGAAAAATTTTATGCCCACCTTCCATACTAAAACGTCATGTAGTTGAATACCGCAGCACCCATTTTGAGCAGATAACTTCATTTCACTAAGGGTAATGTTTTGCTCTCACGCGCACGCGAATTAACCTACTGTATCATTTTGACGGCTAATCAACACCTTGAAACTATTTTTACTCTTTTAGGATGCAACATTATTTTAGCTGACTTGCGCCTTATTTCATCAATACTCGTCGAACGCAATTCGGTTGCAGTGCCAAACAATTTCAGCGTCATCTTCAGACTAAGAATTCCCCTTATCCAAGTAAGCCAACCATCAGATCCCTTAGCTCTCTGACGGTATAAAACACTTCAGAAGACAGTAGTGATGCCGTGAATCTTGACAACAAATAGACGGTTAATGATACACGTCCAAATTAGCACGAATCTCTCAGGAAGCAGTGAATTTTCAGCGTTCCGTTTTAAATATGCTGTGTTTTTGATATACTCAGACAATGTGAGTAATAATAATATAGAGATTTTGTTCCAACGCCATTAAGCATTGCAATGCGCTAAACTTTATGAACTTTTTTGTAGGTACGAGATGCTAACTGCGAAGTAGTTCAAAAATTGTTTAAGTCAAATGGAATCTTTATCAATCTCACTCAACAGCTGTGGGACAATGGCACATATCAGACGATTCACAAAGGAGAAATCAGCGAAGTCTTGAAAATTAAAACAAAATTAAAAGGAGGCTATCTTTTATCTATGATGATATTCCTAATTGTAGTGGATTGGATTATGGGACAGCTTGTCATTCGAATGGAGAGAAGAGCGTGTTGGACCCATATTACGATTCTAACAGATCTGGATTCCGTTGATGATATGTGTCTAGTGTTACATAAACTCGATGACTCATATGAGAAAACCAACAAAATGCGCAACAAAATCGACATTTCATCTGCATCGCATGCAGTCATGATCTACTGACTTACAAAAAACACACACAACAGTGAACAGAAAGTGTAGATGTCAGTACATCGATTTATGAACGCATGAGCTGGAATTTACGAATCATGGAGATCCAAGAAACAATTGTTACGATACAACTTATATCTGCCACATAAACAAAAGTTTAAGGTTCATTGCATTAGGAGTTTTGTTTCTATTGAATATCTGCCATTTGAAAAATCCTTCATTTACATATTCGAAAAATGTTGCTCGAGTTACAAGAAATCACATATCAGGCAAACACGCTAGCAATACATTGTGTCACGTTGACGTATGATATAGAAATGATTTGAGCTTGTTGGCAACAAGCAGTGTAATCTGAAAACAGAGAAGCAAATGGTATGAAAACTTAATTTAACTTATAGTTAACTTATATATCATATTAATCACATATTATCTAATATTTCAAATACTCCAAAAGTACGACATCTACTTACAATGAATGAAATAAAAATTCATATGAACAAGCCAAATCTGCGTATTCCAAAGAAATTTGTGGAGCCTCTTTCGTTGCCATGACCAACTTCATCATGCATAATAAGTTTTACCAACGATTATCCACTCCCCATGTTATTTTATTCCAGGTACAATGGCAGACATTTCAAACATAGCATTTTTATCGTAGTATTATTGTGTAATTCCGCTTGGTCATTCTCTTCTGTTTAGTCATTATCTTCATTCTACAAATTTCACCAATACGAAGCGAGTACGCTGATCTTTGATCACAGTATTACTTCCACCTCTCCAATAAATGTAAACATCGTTTTACCAACATCTACTGGTTAATTATTGTGACGGTTTCTGAAAACATCCCTTTGTTCACTTAAAACTGGTAATTCCTATTGACTAAAATAAATACATGCTTGGTATAATTTTGATAAACAACGACATACATTAATGTAGAGAAAATGATGACGAACTATCTGCACAAGGAGTAAACATCATGGCTTAGTTTGTATTTTTCGAAATAAAATGTTTTTCAAATTTAGTGAAAATGCTGCCAGTCTGACATTATTTTAAGTAATTCAGAGAAAGTTTTTCTGAACTTACCAAACACATGGACGTGTTGAGAAAGGCGACCACCAGCATTTTGCAGAGATCCTACAAAATAAACACTGAATCTCGTAAACATTCGAGGCTAACCTGCAGAAGAATGCTAGGAGTTCTCGAGTTTATTTCCACTCTGAGTTACTGAGCGATAAAGTTCAAAGATGCAAAGATAAAATGAACTCAGCAACTGTGCATTCAGTACCTAAATCAGACTTCTTCTATCCAAATGAATACATCTTCAACATAATTTCAAGAAATAAAAGTGAATCAGAGTGAGTGAAAAGACGAAGTGTCACTATAAATCTAAAATTCAGCATTTTTCTTGGTTACATTTGATACTTAAATGTGTGATTGCTTCGTTTTACCGGCCATAATGAATAAACGAGTTAAAATGAAATTCGTGTGTACCATGTGACCTGCATGTTAAGCAGATTTGACAAAATCAATTCACGTCACCTAATTAACGCTGAACAGAATGATGGGTCATCTATTTACTTCACATAAAAACTCTACTGACGGACTGTAAACTGATTCTAACAATACTCGTTGCTCTTTCAATCCCGTTGTATAACGTTAATGTGTATTCCTGCCAAAAAGTAAGGTATTTGAATCTTGTAAATGCTCTCCGTCTTCCGATACGCCAGTAATATTTTCTTTTGTCGTGTGGAGGTACTGAATATGTCCATTTTATGCATATCCTCATATGTCACCACAAATAAAGTATCAAGTGTCAATCATTGCCTTCACCAAGTTGTATACAACTATACGTAATTTTGCAACGACGGTCAGATGAAGACGCCTGGCGAAATACTTCAAAATGTCATCGAATACATCATTTTGCAGCCGTAAAGATTTCGACGATTTACAAATTTTCCTTCGGTGAACAAACGTCGTTCATTTAAAGGTCTTATTAATATATCTTACAGTGATCAGGAATTGTTTACTATGTGACCTTGTTATGTTTACCTCATCCATGGTAACGTGGAACTGTTGAGTTAAAGTAATTAAGAGAGTGGTGGATATTTGAAATTCGGTGCAAATTTTGAAATTACTATAGCCATTCAATAATAAACGTTGGTATGTAGCAAATCATTTGACATTTCATCTAACTTACCTCATACCAAGGTATGAACGTCAAAACTACCGCAACAACTGCGCAAACTATCGATAAAACCGCCAGTATGATAGCCACAATGATTTTCAACCTTCTTCTCATGCAGAATAAAATAATCACTAATAAATCCTCCAGAAAAGTGATTATGAATAAATACGAACAATTTAAACTAATGACTGTGCAATCTACCAAGCAGACTTCTGCCGACCATAGTAAAAGCTGTTGACAAAATAACATAACATAACATAACATAAGCTTTATTCCAAATCAGTACTTGTGATACAGAATGGAATTCTCAGCATTTTACTACAATATTGCATCCAGTTTTTTACATTAACAATAAATAAAGTTCTACATAGTTTAAAGTTATCTCAACAACATATTAGTATGTCGGTAGCAAAGCCAAAATTAAAGTGTTTGAAGGTGTTAGAAAAGTAGATACTACTAGCATATTTACTGGCGTAAGCGATAGCAAAATGGTCGAGATGTACAGAGTGTGAAAGAACGAACAAGAATGTTTTAAGTAGAGTTTGCAAGGAAGAGAGAAACAAAACAGCACATAACAAAAATAAATACAGAATGAAAGAGCGAGAAAACGTTGTACCTATAAATGATGTGAGTTGGAAAGACGAGATCCATTGGTTCTACTGACTATTTAATAAGTTAAAGGTTTCATGCCTGATGCATTCTTTATCGCACAGAACACGAGCTAAGTAGGGTATGGATGAGTTTTTGTACTTACTAGTGCGGGCATATAGTTTCCTATATAGGCTTCTTGTTTTCCCTGAAGAGATACATGGGGAGAGTTGTGAATGTAGAGGGTGTTGTGAGTCAGATAAAATGGATTTCGCCCATTTTTCACATGAGTCCATATGCCTGTCCACCAGAATATTAACAAGCTGGCTAAGTGGCAAGCTGCTTACCCTGCTGACAACCTTTAACATCCTACGTAATAAGGTATAGTCTTTCTTCAATAGCCCAGGAAAGACTAAGGGGGAGCAATAGAGAATAATAGGCAGAATACGGGAGTTAACAAATTGTAGGAGTAAGGGTTGGGTTACACCAGAATGTCTTAACTTCTTGATGTAGAAGGTAAGACGGTATATTTTCTTGGAAATCGTCAAGATATGAGACGACCAGGAAAGATCAGAAGATAGAGTGACGCCTAGGTATTTAATTTCCGACTTGGTTTCTATTTCACTGCCATCTATGTTGCACACCTCGTGAGTGCTAACCAGTTTGTTTAGGTCAGATTTATGCCTAAGGGTGAAATTAACTGTTTGGCATTTGGAGGGGTTTAAGGTTAGACCGTTTTCCTTGGACCATTGGCTAATTTCCGATAAGAAGCCATTTAGTTTAGAGCAGTCACTTTGACATTTGACAGGTAAAGATACAGTTAGGTCATCAGCATATTTGACAAAGTTAATGTCATTTGAAGACGGTAGGTCATGTAGGAAGAAAGAAAAGAGAAGTGGGGAGAGTACAGCACCTTGGGGGACACCAGCTTCTGTGAGCACAGCAGAGGAGGATTGGCCTTTGTATACGGTGTACTGCATTCTGTTTGAAAAGTAGGAATGCAACCAGTTAGTGACCCAGGACTCGGTTTGTGTCATGGAGAGCTTATTTAGCAAGAGACTTCTAGGTACAGAGTCGAAAGCAGAAGTAAAGTCAAGAAACGTGCAGCGGACATATTTGGCACCTTTGTCTAATGATGAGATAATACTGTTGTGTAAGACGGCTGCAGCGTCTAAAGTACTCCTACCCTGTCTGTAGGCAAATTGTTTGGGGTCTTCGAAGCTTTTAAGGGAGGGTTCGAGTTTAAGAAGTACTAGTTTTTCCATGAGCTTTAGAAACGGGGAAGTGATGGCGATGGGTCTGAACTTTACGTTCTTGCTATTTCCAGGTTTAGGGACAGGGACTATTTTAATGTCTTTCCATGGAACAGGTACAACGTTTTCACGGAAAGAAGCATTTAGTATATTAGTTAGAGGAGAACATAAAGCATCTGCACATTGTTTTAGAACATATGCAGGTATGCTATCAGGGCCAAGACTATGTGAGGGCTTAAGAGTTTTAAGACATTTCAAAACATCGAGAGTATTGAAGTCCTGGAAGTTATCAGCTACAAGATTGGTAACGTTAGAAGTGGTTATAGTAGAAGGAGAGCGTAAAAAAGACAGATTAAGAGCATTAACATCACAAGAGGGAAAAACATTACATCGCTTACTTTTGCCAGTAATTTCATTGAAAAGTTTCCACATGCTGTTAGGAGATTTGCATGATAAAAGTGTTTGGTTATAGATAGCATTAAGATTTTTGATTTCAGATTTGATTTGAGCATTAATCTTTTTAAGTCCTAACTTGTCTTTGCATTTATATAACATTTCTTTTTGCCTGCGAAGTTGTTTGAGACGGGGAGACGAGAAGCGGTCGAGGCGTTTGAACAGTGTTTGTTTGGGACAGCATATGTCGAGGCAGAACTTAAGATAATCCATTATATTGGTGATTGAGTCATCTAATGTACTTTCATAGAATAGATCCCAGTTGGTATCTTTTAACATGCATCTTAGATTGAGTAAGTTGTCAGATGTGTAGCATCTTTCTTGTGCTTTCGTAGACAGGTGTGAGAAGATTTTAATATGTGTTTTGCTGTATATTTTTGGCAAAACGCGGACAATGCAGTGATCGGAGTTATGTATCGGTGAACGTCTACGTGTTTCATATACTCCTTCGTCATTAGTAAAAACTAAATCGAGTGTTTTGTCAAGTCGAGTGGGAAATTTGACTATGTTTGTGTGACCAAGAGCTTCAAGAAAGGAGCAATCCGATGTGTTGAAGTCTCCAGTAATAACGGATAGAGAGTTGTCGAAGTTGGCAGCAGCAAACATGGTGAATTCATCAGCAAAATTAGATAGATCAGATGGAGAGCAACTAGGAGAAATGTACATGTTTGTAATATAGAATTGTTTATATTTGGGGAGGTGTTTGGGGCGACATTTGACAGTAATACAGTCAATGAAGTCATTTGAGAAGGTGAAGCAGACGTTATTTGAGACAGACCATTTGGAGTGAATAAAAGTTGCAACGCCACCACCATTTTTCTTATTACAACATTGACGGTCTTGACGAAATAAAATAAAGTCCTTTAGTGAGATAAGGTTGTCATCATACAGTTCATGCAACCACGTTTCTTGTAATGCGATTATGGCGGTGTTATGATACGTATCAGTTGACATCAAGGATTGTAGGTACATTATCTTATTTGGCAGAGAGCGACAGTTTGAGTTCATTATGACGGGGACCGTAGTTAAGTGTATTGGTGTACGTTTGAGAGCTCTCTGCCAACCACTACGATGTTTCCTTCTTGGTTTCTTTGGAATATGAAAGTCATTTGGTCGTAAATCATTAATAAAGTTACGAGAGTAAATGATTCTGTTAGAATTCATATTAAGGTGATAAATGTATGCTGGTAAACAGTAAACTGGATGCAAAATGTAGATATTTTGGTAGCAGGCCCAAATATTCGAACAGGCCGCCAAGGTCAAGGTCAAGGTCAATAAATATAAAAAGTACAAATAAACGGAACAAGTTGATTAGTCTCCATAAATGTTGTGCTAAATCTAAGTTCGACGTCATTAAGCACAAAATTTTATACTATATCAAACTTCCAATGAATCGCTTCCGTCTCAGAGGTTCGTACGAGTGTCGTTTCTTCAGTGGAGCTACGTAGATACAAGCCAGATTTACACCTGTCTCATAATATGCTGATTTAATACACTTCATCAGTGAACTACCGAAACTGGTGGCCAGCTATTAGTAGGTGTGATGCGTAGCCAGAAAAAAAGTGTCTTTCAATAGCAAGTAATGATTGAGTCTGATGAGACAAGAGTTAAGTGCCTTTACTAACTACGAAATCTATCATTTTTTCAAGTGCGATTTTAATGAAGGTCAGACTCATATTCTGTTGATACAAGCCACACACACGATATGGATGAGTTTACATAAAATTGGTCCATTGTGGCAAGCTTCTTTGTCTGAATAAATTCCACTTTTCAGTTTTATACTTAGGTGGCTATTGCATGCGAAATGATCATAAATAAACAAAGTCACCGTATCATGTTTCCCTTCAGGAGAACTTACCAGTGTTGCAAGAAATATTCGTTCAATTCTCCAGTTTCTGATGTATTTGAGGCAAAGTATTAAATTGATGACGAAAAAAATTGCTCTGAAAGGTAAATAGGAAACTGAGGAGTGAATTTCGGTGGTCGGAACATTTAAGTATATGGATCCATCCGTATTTTTATATGACTGAACATCATTTCCTATGGTCTATAACGTGGATGATTCTTGGCACTGATCATGCAACAGAATACATTTCTAGCCATCATATTATCTCATGCTTCAGAAGATTTGATTGTTTTCCATCTAGTTGAACAATGTGTTTATAATCACTGCTCAACATCAACAAAATTTTTAAAAAATTGCGCAAATGACTCTTATCATTCGAATGTAGTTAACTGTTGAACTCACATGCAAGTGACTGCTTCAATGTACCACAAATTCATCACAAAATATTTCTGTGATCTAAAAAACAAAAGATTCATTACAAATTTTAGGCGAGAAGAAATTTCTGAAAGGGTCTATTTCGAAATATCTTATCAATTGCAGTCACGTATTGTCGAATTCGGACAATGAATCAATAGGTATACTAAACAAAACAAAACAAAAATTGTATGAACTTTGATCAAAAACTTTTTTTACCTCACACTTTCAAAATTTGTCTACTTTTGTCAAAATGTGTGTGTATGCAGTATATGCAGGATACAATGGTGTGTGTGTATGTGTGTGGGTGGGTGGAACAGTCATAAAACATTTGCTATTCTCATATGAGCTGTGATCAAGATTTGACCGGATAGTTACAAATAATTGACATTTTTATAAATATAATTTAATTTTTATACATTTGTTATTCTCTGCATAAGAAGACGTAGACAATCGGGAATTTGACTAAGTGTGACTACTTGATCATACATATCAAATTTTATTTTGTTTATTAGTCAGGATTTGCCATGCATCGGCTAACATCACACCTTCACGTCTGTTTAAACTGTTGGGATTCACCCATATATGTAGGGCTTCTGCAGTCAGTCTTTCTTGATATGAACCCAAACCTTTCTGTAAAACCTTAGTCTTATCAAAGTCGATTTTGTGTCCCATTTCTATTGAATGTAGTGCAATCGCTGAGTTGTTTTCTAGCTTCTTCAAGTCTGCAGAGCTCTTTGGAACCACCTTTAGACATTGTTTACGCTCTTTCACTCTTATATTTACCTGTCTAGACGTTTCTCCTACATATACTGCGTTACAATCCCCGCAGTTGATCTGGTATACGCAATTCTGCTGGTTTTTCTTGTTATATTTTATCCTTAACCTTCACCAGTAATGAGCGTAAGGTGTTAGATGCACGAAAGTACACTCTTATGCTATGTTTGTTAAGGATTCGCTTTATTTCATCGGATGTTTCTTTGCGGTAAGGAACCACCGCTGTACTAACCCAATTCTTAGCATCAGGTTTCGGTTCATCCTTATCTTCACATTTTAAATATCCTTTTATGAAGGCTTTAGGATAATTATTTGATTCAAGAGTGGACTGAACCAATTTTAGTTCCTCGCTAATCTCCTCAGTAACTAGACGTTTGGTTCTGTTGATCAGATTCTTGTCCACAGTTACTTTGGTGGTAAATGGATGTGCTGAATAGTATTCTAGGTATCTGTTCGAATTTGTCGGCTTTCTGAAAATGTTTATTTTAAATTTGCCGTCTAATTTTTTTTTTTACTAAACAGTCCAGGAACGCCAACTCACTTTCATCGGATTCAACCTCTTTGGAGAATTTGATGGTTTCTGACATATTTTTTATTAAATGAAAAAGTTCATTTAACAAACTACGTTTGATTATGATGAAGGTATCATCTACGTATCTCGACCACATCTTTGGGGGACTAGGGCATCTCATAATTGGATTTGTTTCTAATGAGTGCATAAACAGATTGGCAACTAGCGGAGATACTGGTGATCCCATAGCAATGCCTCCTGTTTGACGATAAAGAACCCCTCTGAACGTAAATAACGTGGATCGAGGACACAATTCTAATACCTTCATAATTTCGTCGGGAATCAAAGGACAACGATCACTGAGTTCGTCGTCAGCATAAAGTAAATTATAAATAATACTTAAAGAATCATTAACGTGTACATTCGTGAATAATGAATAAACACCGAAACTTGCCGTTATTTCATCTTCTTCAATATTAGTCAAATTCCTTTACCTCCTAAATTCAAACGAATTTTTCACTCCATGATTCACTTTAATTTCATAAGGGCTAAGAATTCGATAAATGTATTTTGTGAGTTTGTATGTTGGACAGTTAGTAAAATCCACTACTGGACGTAATGGTGCTTCCGGTTTGTGTATTTTTGGTAACCCATAAAATCTACAGATGCTGCAACCTTTTGGAGCCAAAGTAAACCAAAGTGATACACCGAGCTTTTCTTTTATTGACTGTAGCATTTTGCTTGTTTCAGCCTTCTGCCTATTTAATGTCGCTCTTGATTTATTCACATTGAATTTTTCATAAGCTCCGTCATTAAGATGATCAATCGCCTTCTTTTCGTAATCTGCTGAGTTCATGAAAACTATGATATTGCCTTTATCTGCTCTCGTAATTACAATTGATTTGTCTTGTTGTAAGTGTCTTAATGCCATTTGCTCGTTTTTATTTATGTTCGGCCCGTTTCGCTTCTGGTTCAGTAGTACGGCTGCAATTTTGTGTCTAATGACGTTTGCCTCTTCGGCTGTCACTGACTTTAACGACGGTTTAATTGCTGGGACTAATTCAAAGCCTGATAAATGCCTTTTGTTTAGATTGAAATTAAGTCCCTTTTTAAGGGGGGATAGTTCATCATCTGATAAATTTCTGTCAGAGAGATTGACCACCACTTTGTTCGTATCCAGAAAGTTATGATTAGACGGATTTTCAAAATGATAGTTTTTAGGATTAATGCTTAGTTGAAGCAACCGGTGTAACTTTCTGATTTGTCTTCTTTTTGAAGATTGATGATAAAATTCTTTAAATTTAAGTATTTATCAATGAGATACTTCAAATCGGATGTGCCCAAGACAGATAAAATTTCATCTAAATTAGGCATTCGTATACGAAATAATTCCCTATTTTTGGTTGCTGTGTGAACGCGTTCTCGTACAAACGGTCTAGTTGCGGAAAGAGCTGCTTAAATTGATCTGCTAGAGTTATCAGGTGACTTGACAGATGCGGATTTAGGATAGATATTCTGTTGCAGACAACGGGGATTGAAAATACGATGATTGAACCGATTACACATTTTCTTTGTTGGTTTAATTCGATTGCAAAATAATTCATATGAACTGTCACCAAGATTTGACCGGACTGTTGCAAAATAATTATTTATTATACATGTTGATACCTGTTGCATGACTCATTATTGGACAAAATTTTAATAAACAAGAGTTGTCCCTTTATATATAAACCTTTGTTATGTTAATTTCGATTAATTTCCCTGAAGCAGTTCGGACCAGATTGACGAACGAAACGTTGGAATTATTCATTTCAATTTCGCTGAGAATTTACAAATATAACTTTGTAAATGTCTACTTCTCACTCAGCGCTCAATTATTTTGCAACTATCCGGTCAAATCTTGATCACAGTTCATATGAATATGTATTTAATATAACGAAATGTTGAAGTGACACACACCCCTTGAGTGATAGAAGGTCTCTGAAAACTAATATATTCGAAATTTCTTGAAACGACAACAAAATCATATCATCGGCGAAACGGAGAAGATGGGTAACTTACTAGTAAATAAAATGTAATCTAACAATAAAAATCACACTAGTGATATGCGAATAAACTGCTCATGCTTAAATATATTCATCTCATTCTATTAAACTTTGATCCAAACTTCAAAACATATTTGTTAAGATAAAAAGTTAACTCAAAAATATAAAACTTGACACTATGTACCTTAAAATTATGAAATGCAAGAAATACATAAAAACACAATAAATAGTGACGCTAACTACATTCCAAGTTATTCTTATTTTTCTGTTGTTAGAAGTGGTTTCTCACTGCATCATCGCATGTCCGCTGAGCAGACTGACGTGAAATGTGACTATACATGTTGAAATATGCCAGGTGTTTGTCTAAATTAGTGCGTTACAAAGTCTCTTCTTTTCTGATATTATATTTGAAATAAGGAAGAAAACAAAGGTTTCATTCAGTCTCAAATATCCTTATGAGTCACTCTCTATATGAAGAGGTCTATTTGAGGAATTTTAAAAATCCATGAACATTATAATGAATAAGACCAAAAATCTACAATTGATCTACTACGCTGAATAAAGTAAACTTCGGATGGATGAAAATGGTTTGGTCTTATGCCCTAAACGGATAATCCTAGCAATATGTTAGGCACTTACAAAATCCATGCAGTCGAATAAAAGTTCTAATCCAAAATTTAAGCTTTTCAACACACAAACACATCAGTAAGTTAAATATTTAGCAATAGTACTACACCTCATTAGAGATACGTCGAAGTATAGGTCAATTAGTTTATAAATAATGAAACACCAAAACAGAGGAGATCCAGTAAGAAAAAGATTGAAGGCATTTAGAAATGAAACAGACACTGAGTCCGAACTCAGTAGTGGGACCAAGATCGTGACTGATGGTGAAATATGAGGCTCTCAACTATGTCTGACCCCTACTGAGTTCCAATTTCAAAATACATCATACATACAAATGAATGGGATGTCCACAATAGTAGCAGACATGTTAATGAATAAACATGAAGATAAAGCCATTCACGTGGATTATGGTGGATATATGTGGATGTCGCATTCACTCTGTAGGAATCTGAAGATTAACAAAATGAAATCAATAGAATGAAAAAAATATGACCAAAGAATAATCACTCACCAGAATTCATTCAGATATGCTATAAGATCCATAGAAAAATAATATTAATAGTGAAAATGACGAAAATGAAGTGGACTTCAAAGCGTCTGTTCGGCCGCCAAAAAAGCAGGTACGGCAGATGCCCTACGTAGGATTCTCAGTGAGGCTGGAGTGTGAAATGCATTTAAACTATCCAAGTCCCCCATACATGAACTTTGTCAGCTTAAGGATAAGATAGATTCACTAGAGTAAAAAATATAATTTACCCAATACCATGTAACGAGTATAAGGCTATTAAATAGATCAGAGTCAGTCAGATTACCGGAACATCAAAATAAGACTCTGCTGTCCCACTGCATTCACTAGCGTGCAATGACACAATAAATAGTCAGTGAGTCTTTTTTAACGATTCATCACCGCACACTTACAATCGAAGTGATACCACGCCAACATTGGAGAAAGGGAAAGTGACAGCAAACGACCAGGAGGAAGTGAGAGGGAAAAATAACACTATTAAGAAAATCATGAGGCGATGTGATTAAATAATATTATAATGAGCAATAATTTCCGCTG